CCAAACCTGTGACGCCCTTAATTTTCATGCTGGATAACAAATTTTAACTGAAATGTATTGGTCTCATCAATACCTATCGATTGACCCAACAAAAATTTGCCACGCCCACTCTAACGCCCATTACGCTTAAATCTGTATACCGCTGGTAGGTGGCGCATTTTAATCTCGCTTTGCTGCTTGCATATCTCCATTTCCCTTTGGTCCCTTTATCTGAGTAACGGGTATCTGATAGTCGACGTACTCGACTATAGCGTTCTTCCTTGTTTTATTTGCACTAACTGCGTACGAACGTACGTTCGCGATCCGTGGAAATGCCCATATAGTAGTCGCCTTTGCACACTCTCCTCTCACAAAAGATGAAAAGTTGCAGAGGGTATAATTATTTCAGTCAGACGTTTCCGTCCCCATAAGGAATATACATATTCTTGATTAGCATCAGTAGACGAGTAGATCTAGCCCGTCTGTCTGTTCATCATCATTATGTGTTCAATATATTGGTTCTTGAAATGTAATGTTCCCAAAAACGTAAATTATACTTCGAACTATGCTTCGTTTACGAACTAAAACAACATAACCAAAGTAGCAATTTTATCAAAATTTATAGATATCCAAGGTGGAACATGCCACACGCAAACCTATATAGCAGGTAAAATGGCTAAAGTACACACTCGCAGAAAAGACGCTCACACGGGCGTTTCCGATGACAAAGTGCGATTATACCTGCATAACTTCATTAGGTAAGTTCTGTTCCACTTTCGCTTGCCTGCTACTAGCCACTATGGGGCCAACGAACCTTTTTTTATACCCGTAACTCGTATAGTAAAATGGTATATTGTATTGTTTGGAAAGTATGTAACAAGTTGAAGCAAACGTTGCCGACCACATAAAGTATATATATTCTTGATCAGGATCACTAGCCGAGTCGTTTTAGCCATGTATGTCTGTCTGTGAACGATGTGAACCCGAAAACTAGAAGATCTCGAGAGTTTTTATTTCAGATTTAGATTCCGTAGCTTTCATTCTAATGGTCACAATCGCTTTCAACGGTTTGTAAGGATTGTCTTGCGCATGCATTGTAAAAGTTTAAATAAGATTCTGTTTTGCATATTAATATCCATCTACTCGTTAAATTCATCAAAAAACAAGGAAGAACGCTAAAGTCGAGTACCTCGACTATCAGATACCCGTTACTCAGCTAAATAGAGATATGCAAGTAGCAAAGCGAGATTAAAATGCGCCACCTACCGGCGGTATACAGATTTAAGCGTTATGGGCGTTAGAGTGGGCGTGGCAATTTTTTTTGGACCAATCGATAGGTATTGTCGAGACCAATACATTTCAGTTAAAATTTTATCTAACATAAAAATTGTGGGCGTCACAGGTTTTCGCGGTTTGTGGGCGTTAGAGTGGGCGTGGCATATTCGCGTGACAAACTTGCGCTGCGTATAAGGCTACGGAATCTAAATCTGAAATCCCAATTCTCTATCTTTGATAGTTTTCGAGATATCCACGTTCATATTTACGATTTTTTGAAGTTTGTGGGCAGTTTATGGGCGTTAGGGTGGGCGTGGCAAACTTTTTTTTGGGTCAATCGATATGTATTGATAAGAACAATACATTTCAGTTAAAATTTTTACTCTAGCATCAAAACTGTAGGAGCCACAGTTTTGGGCAGTTTGTGGGCGTTCGAGTGGGCGTGGCACTTTACTGAAACAAACTTGCGCTGCGTAAGAAGCTCAGGAATCTGCACGCCTAATCTCAATAGCCTAGCTCTTATTGTTTCCGAGATCTCAGCGTTCATCCGGATAAAAACCTATCGATTGGTCCAAAAAAAATTTGCCACGCCCACTCTAACGCCCATAACGCTTAAATCTGTATACCGCCGGTAGGTGGCGCATTTTAATCTCGCTTTTCTACTTGCATATCTCTATTTAGCTGAGTAACGGGTATCTGATAGTCGAGGTACTCGACTATAGCGTTCTTCCTTGTGTTATAATGTAGACAATAACCTGAAGTATAGAAAATCCCTCTAGTGTGCACTGGCAGTTAAGGATTGTAAGGATTATTCTTGTATAAATCAAAATAGAAGTCCCCCACATATATATATATGTATAGGCAAAGATTCAAGTTTATATCTGTTAAAGTGAGTGAATAATTAAATTTGGCCAACATAAGAGCAGTTGGCCCCATAGTGTTATGACTGGCTCTACGCGTACTACTCTATTGACAGCATGCATTCTGTGCCTTGTCTCTCTCTTTGGCAAACTTGTGTTGTTTTTGAGCTTTTTAACAGTGGTTTTAAGTTAGCCACGACCCCTACTACCGATGTCCTGTTTTGGCTTTTTGTTTGTCTTCCTCATAGCCCTCCGCTTTTGCCGTTCTCTTTGTACATCCCTCTCCTTTCTTGACCTGCGCTTGCACTGATATTTTTCAAAATGAAACTTTAACAAAATTAAACTTTTCTCATTAAAACGTGCGATTTTTTCTTTCCTTATCCTTATCCAAGCTACTGCTCTTATTCCTGCTGATGATTTTTTTAAACGCTGACCGCAGCGTCGCCATTGTAAGCTGGCCAAAAGAGCGACGGAAAGGGAGAAAGTATATGGGCGAAAGTGGCAGAATGTACGGCCAGAGGATTCCGTTGAGAGTAGTGCATATGGTTGAGTGAGTGTCAGCAGAATTGGCAACATGCACAGGACAAAAAGAAAAGGAAATAGTTTCTTAAGAACTAAATATATCGAGGGAAACATAAAAACACTTCAAAATAAAGATATGTATAAAAGAATTCCACAGTATAGCTTGAAGTTGGAAAACAGGCAAAGTCATTCTGAAGTCATCGACAACTGTTATAAGGGGTTTCCAAACCCTAAATTTTTGTGAAACCCTCAATAATTTCTATCCGTTGCCTAAAGTTCAATTTATAAAGATGGCTATAATATTTATACTGCCTTGTCGGGTATTTAATTCTTGTTCTTATAAGTGTTATCTTAAGGTTCAATTTCAAGCACTGCCTAAAGTTCAACTTATGCAGATGGCGAAAATATTTATACTGCGTTGTCGGGTATTCAATTCTTGTTCTTATAAGTGTTCTCTTAAGGTTCAATTTCAAGCACTTTTTCTTAAATTTAGCTTGTAGGCAGTGGTCAGCACGCAATATAATGATATTTTCGGCTTACGCTTTTTTCTTAAATTCTTCAAAATAAGGTTTAACATTATAAGCCCAACTTAAAAAAATTTTAAAATTAGCATTTTGTAAATTTGAAATGCCTCAATAAGAAGGCAGCATACAGTTATAATGTAATTTATTTAAATTTGTATGTAAACATTATTATGAATATACTACAGATGAAGTATGTAGGGTACGCATTCTAGATTGATCGGCCTTACCAGAGGCCTTATCGGCCTTACATTCGGATAACAAATTTGCGCATAATCAGAAACCAGGCAATCTCAATCTGAAATCCAAACTGTCTAGCCTTTATAGATTCCGAGATCATAGCGTTCACAGGTCATTTGAACATCCTAAATTTTTAAATTTTTTTTCTTCGGTGCATATTTTAACGGAGGTGTTGTTTGCAGAGGGTTTTGAAGGGTTTGTGAACTTCAGCTCAACCTGTCGACGGACGGGCAACATGTGCCGCCGCTTCTACATACAAGCATTTTTTTAACAATTGCCAATTTTGCTGCCTCTGCTTTTTCCTGCCCTTGTACCTTATTCCGTCTCCCAGGCTCCCATCTCGCTCATCTCTTTTGGCTTTTTTTAATTGAATATAAAACTTGCTAGCGGCAATCGGAAGTGCACTGCAGGAAACGCCAGCTGCCCATGTGTCTGAGTGGGAGCATAGAAAGAGAGAGCATGACGTAGAGAGCCTGTTCGAAAGTTGGCTTTCAATTATAAAAAAGCCAACAACAAAAATAAACTATACATGAATCCAAAAACAGAAAGAGCTAAAAAGATAAACTTATTGAAAATCGAGAGCACAGTGTGCATATAGCAGAATTGGTTAAAACGCCTTCCACACATTCAAAAACATTAGGAAAAAGGACATGTCAAGACAGAATATCTCCCAAAAATATTCAAAAAAAGGTATTGACTATTACTTGGCTATAACTTTGGGGCTTAGAGTGGGGGTGGCACCCTGCCGAGACAACTTGCGCTGCGCAAGAAGCTCAAGAATCTACATGCCAAATCCCAACTTCCTAGCTATTATAGTTTCCGAGATCTCACAGACGAACATGGCTAGATCGACTCGGCTAGTGATCCTAATCAAGAATATATATACTTCATGGGGTCGGAAACGCTTCCTCCTAACTGTTACATACTTTCAGACGAATGTAGTTTACCCTTTTACTCTACGAGTAACGGGTATAACAAATGGCTTGCGAACGGGTAAGGAATATTTTTTTAAAATTGTTAAATATAAGCAAGGAAGAACTTTATAGTCGAGTGCCTCGACTATCAGATACCCGTTACTTAGCTAAAGGAAGTTAGAAAACGTTATATTTCAAGACAACAATGTTTATAAAAGTTTTTTCTAGCTTTAAAAGTTTACAGGACGCCACCCATGGCAATTACATTACGTCGGCAAACATTTTTAATGAGTAGTCCGATTTGAACAATCGTGGGTAAGTATTGATAAACAAAAAAATCTAGCTTTTATAGTTTAGAAGACCATATCGTTCACACGGACAGACGGACATGGGGGGATATATATATATACTTTAAAAGTCGAAAACGCTTCTTCCTACTTGTACATACTTTCCGACGAACACAATATACCCCTTTACTCAACAAGTAGCAAGAATTCAATTTTTAACGCGATATAATTTTATTGCAGTGCATTTCTTTCGGCTCCCTAAAGAACACCTTCCTTTAAATATACATCTTTGGACGCTTTCAAAATAATTTGTAATCCTGTAAAAGTTATCGCCAGAATAGGAAAAAATAATAATAATACTCTAACATCTAGTCACAACAACAATTTGACCAAGATACTTACAATTCGAGGGCCCAGTCGAGGAACTTGTGTAGACCGTTCTCCAGCGGCTTGGTCTGGAACCAATTGGTATGGAAGGGCATCATGTAGGGAGCCTTATTCTGTTCGTAGTAGCGCGAGAAGTCCTCCTGCAGCCACTGCAGGACCTCCTCCTCGTCGAGGTTGTGCAGGACACACTGGTCCAAGTAGGGACAGTGGCCGCCCTCGTATCCCTCCACGTAGTGGGTGTTAAGGGGCACCTCCCAAACACCGGGGAAGGTGCGCGACGGACATGTGCCGCTCTTGCACTCGTGCGAAATCTTGTAATCGAGGGTGTACGGCCACACTGGTACTGCCACCGGCGGAACGGTGATCGAACTGTCGTAGATGTACCCAAAGTCCTCCAGAACCTGATGGTATAAATATAATGTATTTGGATTGCTTTTTACTGTAGAAATGTTAAGAAAAACAAGGAAGTACGCTAAAGTCGAGCACCTCGACTATCAGATACCCGTTACTCAGCTAAAGGGACCAAAGGGAGATGGAGATATGCAAGCAGCAAAGCGAGCTTGTAATGCGCCACCTACCCGCGATCTCAGGGCGGCAGACAAATTTAAGCGTTATGGGCGTTAGAGTGGGCGTGGCAATCTTTTTTTGGATCAATCGATAGGTATTGACGATACCAATACATTTCAGTTAAAATTTTTTATCTTGCATGAAAATTGTGGGCGTCACAGGCTTGGGCGGTTTGTGGGCGTTTAATTGAGCGTAGCAAACTTTGCATGCAGAATCTCAATAGCCTACCTCTTATAGTTCCGAGATCTCAGCGTTCATCCGGACAGACGGACAGATGGACATGGCTAGATCGATTCGGCTAGTGATCCTGATCAAGAATATATATGCTTTATGGGGTCGGAAACGCTTCCTTCTGCCTGTTACATACTTTCCGACGAATTTAGTATACCCTTTTACTCTACGAGTAACGGATATAAAAAGAAATTAGAACAGCGAAACCAAGAGAGTGGTCCAGGTTTGTGGGCGCCACAGTTACGTACGGTTTGCGGGCGTTAGAGTGGGCGTGGCAAATTTGCGTAACAAACTTGCGCTGCGTACAAAGCTACGGAATCTAAATCTGAAGTCCCAGTTCTCTATCTTTAATAGTTTCCGAGATATCCGCGCTCATATTTAAGATTTTTTGAAGTTTGTGTGCGGCTTGTAGGCGTTAAAGTGGGCGTGGCAAACTTCTTTTGGGTCAATCAATAGGTATTGATGAGAACAATACATTTCAGTTAAAATGTTTATTCTAGCATAAAAACTGTAGGAGCCACCGTTTTGACGGTTTGTGGGCATTAGAGAGGGCGTGGCACGCTGATGAAACAAACTTGCAATGCGCAAGAAACTCAGGAATCTGTATGCCAAATCTAAATAGCTAGTTTCCGAGATCTTAGCGTTCATACGGACAGACGGACATGGCTAGATCATCTCGGCTAGTGATTCTGATCAAGAATATATATACTTTATGGGGTCGGAAACGCTTCCTTCTGCCTGTTACATACTTTCCGACGAATCTAGAATACCCTTTTACGCTACGAGTAACGGGTATAATCAGACGGCTTTATCATATACAGACAAGTATATATAGTCTAACAAGGAAAATTTTATTCAAAAGTGTGTACAAAAACAAAAAGTTCAATGCGTTTTTAAAAGTAAGATAAGTATGTTAACAAATTCGGGAAACAAACTTAATTATTTTAAATTCCAAAAATATAAACAACTTTATTTTTGAAAAGGAGCACCAAATCATCTGCTTACATAAATAGCCCATTTGACAAAAAAAAATGTTAATTCATTTAAATAAAGGTTAACTCATCAATTTTTTGTGCTATAACCAGAGTTAAGGATACCCGCATCACATCTACGTGGCACACTTTCAACCAGCTTTTGACATCTATTCTTCGGGATAGAAGTCCAAGCCTCTAGGATTCCTGCCCACAAGTCATTTAAGTTCTTAAATTTCTGTTTGAAAATTTGAACTTTGTCATCATTCCATAAATTGTTTAGTCCTCCAGCCACTTGTTAACCACCTTAGTCGTGTGCTTAGGATCGTTATCCTGCTGAAAGATCCATTTTATGGGCATATTTTAAAAAACAAATGGTTACATTTTTTTTTTCAATATGTCCAAATACTGAAACCGATCCATTGTCCCGTCGATACGGACTATTGGGCCAACCACATACCAGGAAAAGGCAACCCACACTATTATTTTTCCTCCTCTGTGTTTTATGGACTTGGTAGTGAACCTAGGATTTAAAACCTGGTCCTTTAGACGCCGAACAAAGGTTTTCCCATCAGTTCCAACTCTGTTAATCTTATTTTCATCCGTACAGAGGAGGTTTTTCCAAAAATTTAAGGATTTGTGCCTGTGGGCTTTTGCACACATAATTCTGTTTGTGCAATGGCGTTTGCTTATGCGACCGAAGAGTGATGCCTCTCTTTGCCTTCTTGATACCAGTGATCTGTATACATTCATCATTTATTTCGTGCACAATCTCCCGAGAAGACAAAAAAGGGTTTTCCCGTTTTTCGTGGACGTTTCTCGCGATCTTTGTTTTTTTTATATTCTTCCCCTTTTTCCCTAAATAAAGTGCATTGTACACCATTTTACGCAAACATTCCATTATAGTCCTTATTTCACTAGGTTTTTTTCCAGATCCATTAAGTTGGTAAATGAGTGTCCATTTTTCGGGAGTGCAATGATTTCCGCGGACCATTTTTGGCAAAAATGTTTAAATTGAGTTTAAACTTTTCTAAATAATGCCACAACGAGACATTAATTAGCAAATTACTCGAATAAGCTCCTGACTAAGCTGTGATATTTATGTGACCACGCAATTTCAAAGTTGATAAGAACAAATAATAAGACAAGGAAGAACGCTATAGTCGCGTTACAAACTTGCGCTGCGTGCAAGCCTACGGAATCTAAGTCTGAGATCCCAATTCTCTATCTTTCATAGTTTCCGAGATATCGACGTTCATATTAACGATTTTTTTAGGTTTGTGGGCGGTTTGTGGGCGTTAGTGGGCGTGGCAAACTTTTTTTTGGGTCAATCGATAGGTATTGACGAGAACACTACATTTCAGTTAAAATGTTTATTCCAGCATCAAAACTGTAGGAGCCACAGTTTTGGGCGGTTTGTGGGCGTTCGAGTGGGCGTGGCACTCTGCTGAAACAAACTTGCGCTGCGCAGGAATTTCAGGAATCTGCGTGCCTTATCCCAGTATTGTAGCTCGTATAGTTTCCGAGATTCCAGCGTTCATACGGACAAACGGACAGACGGACATGGCTAGATCGACTCGGTTAGTGATCCTGATCAAGAATATATGGGGTCGGAAACGCTTCCTTCTGCCTGTTACATACTTTCTGACGAATCTAGTATACCCTTTTACTCTACGAGTAATTTAACTAATGCTTGAATTTAACTAATGTTTAAATTCGATCAGCAATCAAGTTAGGTGTATATTGGAATTCAATTCTTCAAACTTAGTACTCCAGGGGACGGGGAAAAATTGGACTACATTTTTTCCCCCATTTGTGCTATTTATGTGATCATCGCTGTAGGTGCCATAGGAACGATCGGATAATTACTGTCAAAATAATACAAAGACAGTTTTCGGTAAACACATTCTGTAGTAAATTGAAAAAAAAAAGTCTAAAAACCTTCTATAAAAAGACTTTTATTAAAAAAGTCATCAAATATTTTTATACCCGTTACTCGCAGAGTAAAAGGGTATACTAGATTCGTCGGAAAGTATGTAACAGGCAGAAGGAAGCGTTTCCGACCCCATAAAGTATATATATTCTTGATCAGGATCACTAGCCGAGTCGATCTAGCCATGTCCGTCTGTCCGTCTGTCCGTCTGACCGTCTGTCCGTCTGTCTGTCCGGATGAACGCTGAGATCTCGGAAACTATGAGAGTTAGGCTATTGAGATTTGGCGTACAGATTCCTGAGCTAATTACGCAGCGCAAGTTTGTTTCAGTAGACTGCCACGCCCACTCTAACGCCCACAAACCGCCCAAAACTGAAACTCCTACTGAAATGTATTGTTCTCATCAATACCTATCGATTGACCTAAAAAAAAGTTTGCCACGCCCACTTAAACGCCCACAAACCGCGAAAACCTGTGACGCCCACAATTTGGATGCTAGATGAAAAATTTGAACTGAAATGTATTGGTGTCGTCAATACCTATCGATTGATCCAAAAATAAATTTGCCACGCCCACTCTAACGCCCATAACGCTTAAATCTGTCTACCGCCGGTAGGTGGCGCATTTTAATTTGGCAGGACTGTTGGTGACATCTGGGCCAAGTTTCATGACAATGTCATGATCAGAAATAGATTTACGATTGTGTTTACCAAACGACCAGAGTGCATTTTTCGATTTGCACAAAAGAAGTCGCGTAAATGCATGATTAGTGACATGCATCAAATACATGATTACGGGAGATAATACTAGGATTTATACTTACGACCCTGAAACAGCCGACCAAGCAAGCTAATATCGTGCTAGAGGCGAGGCCATACCGAAAAGAGCACGTCAAAGTCGTTCAAAAATCAAGGTTATGATGTCAGAATTTTTAGATTTCGTGGTTTGAGGAGATAAAAGCTGAATCGAAGAAGGCGCTGATGGCTACACCGGAAAGGGACTATTTAGCATGTTTCGAGGATTGGAAAAAACGACATAAGTGTATTTCATTACTTTGAAAGGTAAAGTTGATTTAGAAGAATAAATAAAGGTTTTTCATATTACAAACGAATTCACCCTTCTTTTTGCCTACAGTAATAAATAATTTTGTAACTGTCTCAAAACCGGATTATTAATAAGTAAATGAAATAATTTAAGACTTTTTTTTAAAAGTCATTGAATAAAAGTTACGGTAATTATTCCTTCGGAAAATAAATGTTATTTTCTGGCTTTTATGTAAATGGTGATGAATAACGACTTAAGAATTATTTTTAAAGTACAAGTTATAACTGTTACGGTCCCTGTTTTAAGCAACTCATTTAGTTGTACAATATTGAGACTGTAGATTTAGAAGCTTAGAAAAATTGTATAACCGCCCAGTGCAAAATTTCAATAAATGCTAATTTTTCTTTCCTCGTGGACTGTGACCTTGTCATGGTGTGGGTCTGAACGCGTAATTTTTTTTTAAACATCACAATCAATTAAAAATAGTGAAACTAAAATTGGCTATTTCTTATAACTGCAAGGGTATATGTACATACATATGTATACAAAAGCTTCGGATTGCCGATGTCAACTTCGATTCGTGTTGAATACAACAACGACGTGCTGTCATGTCGCACACACCCTTTTACGCACACCCATTATTTGCATAAAAAGATTTAACATTGATATAATTTAAAATGCGTGAATGGGCCAAAGATTCTGATCGAGATTTCGGGTTGAAAGGAATGGTGTCGCATAATGGCGCTCTTGAACCGTTTTGTACGTAAATGTGTTGTGACATTGATGTCAGTCCTGTCATGACTCGACTTGTCAAGTCCTGTCAACCAGAAACTTTCGCTATAGGCAAAGCTTACATACATATTTGTATATTTGTTTGGTGGCTTGAGGTTACGGTTTTGTTGTCATTGCCTCATCGGATTTTCTACCAAGCTAAATTTTAATATAATGCCAATACGAGGTCAATTCTACGAGTTACATACATCAACACAAGTAAATATGTACAATGTACAATAGGGCGGTCAAAAAAATGAAATCTTGTTCTCACCCCTCACGTGGTTTATTAAAGTTTGCAAAAAATGTACTCAAAAATGAAAATTTTTTTGGTTGAAAAAAAAAAAATTACTCATACGAAATGTATACCAGCCATAACTTTTTTCAAAAAGATCGATGAGGAGGGGAACACAACTTTGTCAATCAAAATGTTTTTGGAGGGAAAAGTAAGGTCAGAATAGACACAACGGACTTTCCATCCAAGTCAGGGCCACCAATATGAAAATAATATATTTGATCAACCTCAACAGTGCCTATGAGTTATATACTTTGAAAGCAATTCGCAGACACTATAGCACGTTTTTTTTGAAAAATGTTGGTATACCTTAAATACCTCGATGCGCACCTTATAGGCAGATGAGAGTAGGACCTTAAACATTTCCATACAAATGTGGACCACCCTAATGTGCATACATCGTACATATGTACAAATGTATTTATTTCTATCTAAATGCAAAAGTTCATTAGTCTAGTTGTATTCTCACTTAAAATACCTCATTTGTTAAAATTCTATGCTTCGTTCAAAAATTTTACGCAAATCAAGATTTTGGGGGACTTTTCAATATTAAACGTTAAAACGTTATTTTGGGGTTCTGAAAATTCTACACGAAGTTAGACAGCTTAATATAAGAACCTTTAGTTCTTACACTTTTCGATAAACTTGTTAGTCTGGCGGGAAAACACCTTTACATAGCTAACTTTCGTACACCCGTAACTTGTGATTTAAGTTACAGGCTTGTGCTATATGGAGTTAGAGAGGTATTTCAAAATACTTTGTACGCCTTTTTAACATAGTTTGCCCAAATATCACCGTTTAAAAATTATAAACAAAAGTTTCTTATGCCCTTGTAGAGAGTATTATGATTTCAGTCAGAAGTTTGCAACGCAGTGACGGAGACGTTTCCGACCCCATAAAGTATATATATTCTTGGTCAGGATCACTAGCCGAGTCGATCTAACCATGTCCGTCTGTCCGTCCGTATGAACGCTGCAACCTCGGAGAGTATTAGAGCTAGGCTATTTGGATTTGGCATGCGGACTCCTGAGCTTCTTACGCAGCACAAGTTTGTTTCAGCAAGGTGCCACGCCCACTCTAACGCACACAACTGCGGCTCCTACAGTTTTGATGCTAGAATATTAATTTTAACTGAAATGTATTGTTCTCATAAATATCTATCGATTGACCCTAAAAAAGTTTGCCACGCCCACTTTAACACCCACAAGCCGCCCACAAACTTCAAAAAATCGCAAATATGAACGCGGATACCTCGGAAACTATCAAAGATAGAGAATCGGGATTTTAGATTTGGATTCCGTAGCCTTGTACGCAGCGCAAGTTTGTTACGTAAATATGCCACGCCCACTCTAACGCCCACAAACCGCCTAAACCTGTGGTGCCCACAATATTCATGCTAGATAAACAATTTAAACTTAAATGTATTAGTCTCGTCAATACCTATTGATTGACCCAAAAAAGTTTGCAACGCCCACTCTAACGCCCACAACGCTTAAATCTGTCTACCGCCCACATAACCATATATTAAGAATACGGGTAGGTGGCGTATTCTTAAGCTAAGTAACGGGTATCTGATAGTCGAGGTACCGGACTATAGTGTTCTTCCTGGTTTTTTTGTATTCGTTGAAATGTACCAGTATATATTAATTTCGAAAATTATAAATTATAATTTGGAAAATTGGTGATTGGCGTTTAAAGTTAACGGAAACAACAGGACTTTATATGTAAATAATAATACGCTGTTTTCCCAACATCCAATAAATATAAAATCAAACACTCGGCGGATTTTGGCGAGAGGGTTTTGTTAGATTGCCTAAAGTTTGACCTTTAACGAGAAGCAATAAAATTAAGTCGGTGTTTTTGCGTATAGTTTTCAAAAAGTTATTATGCCTGCGTCACCTGAATTTTACCAATTTATTTACATTTTATCGGTCTCAAGCCTCTATATTAACTCTTGAAATTTAATATTGTATTTGACAAAGTTAAAGAGCGTTAATAGTTAAATATATTTACAGATAATTGCTAACTAGTCCAGGAAAGCTATAATCATGATTGCTTTCAGTTGTTTTTCTGCTTGTAAACTTATATTTATCTAGAAACAAGAGCCATGGTTTTTTGATTTTTATATCCGTAAGAGGTCGAATGTTGGGTTTTGGCATGTAGTTTGTTTAAGCAGGGTGCCTCGCCCACTCTAACGCCCATACCGCTAGAACCCGTCTAGCACCCACATTTCGTAATATTTTTGCATAATTTAAATGAGATTTTGTTCTTATTATCAATACCCATCTACACGCTAATTATTATTGAAATCGGACCATTAAGTAAAAATGTATAACAAAGTAATAGTCAATATTTTGCAAATTCATTCGAAATTGCACACCACATGCAGCAAATCAGCTGTTTTCACTAATAAGCGACAAAGCCGCTAGGGGCGCTATGGACTAGTTGGTGTTATGGACTGGGTTGCGCTAGGTGGCGCTAGCCATAAGCAAGCATATCTCCATCCTTGTCGCACTCACTTTAGCTGAGTAGCCACACTTCCTGGATCCAAGCCGTCCCCATTTCCGTTGTCATCAAAATTTTACAAATTATGGCGTTAAGCGACAAGATATTTGAATAAATTAAATAAACAAATTAAATAATTATAACAAGACTTAAATTTTGTATTTGGTTTTGGATAACCCGGGTTCACCGAATAGCACTTAAAAACGATTTAGGATTTAGAATCGTCCCCAAACCATCCGTCCATCTCTCTGGCTTAATTCAAAATATCACACTTGACAATTGCATGACAATTGATGTTCTCATTGTTTGCACATCTTTTGTGCAGAGCAGCTGCCACTGCCATCCACCTGCAATAACAAATACCACTCACCTTATATTGGGTGTTGCGGCCAGGCTTGAGGAAGGGAGCTCGCATGCCGACCACATCATTGGCGGACACATTTGCGAAGTGTCGCAGGATTTCTCGCATGCCAATCATCTCGCCAACCCACTCCTCGTAGCCCTTGTCCTGCAGTCCCTGCTGCTGGGAGATGCTCTCCGTCCCGATTTCGTGCCCATAGTATCCCAGGTGCTGGATCTGCTGGTAGTTGCTGCAATTGGGGATTGGGAAAAGATCAAGGGTCAATATGAAAACAAGAGAGAACGCTATAGTCGATGCCATCGACTATCAGATACCCGTAACTCAGCTAAGTGTACTGGGAGCACTCAGGGAGTGCGAGGGAGGTAGATACATGCAAGTAGATATACAGACGCTTTCTGTTTCCACTGATAATCAAAACAAAATCTCATTTAAATTGTTCAAAAATATTCAAAAATGTGGGTGCTAGATGCTAGGTTTTAGCGATATGGGCGTTAGAGAGGACGTGGCACCCTGCTGAATCAAACTTGCGCAAGAAGCTCAAGAATCTACATGTCAAGTCCCAACTTTCTAGCTTTTATACTTTCCGAGATCTCAGCGTTCAAACGGAAGGACGGACGGACGGACGGACGGACAGACGGACGGACAGACGGACTGATGGACGGACATGGCTAGCTCGACTTGTCTGGTGAACCTGGTCAAGTATATACTTTTTAGGGCAGGAAACGCTTCCTTCTACCTGTTACATACTTTTCGACGAATCTAGTATTCCCTTTGCCTCTACGAGTAGCGGGTATAATTAATTGACCATATTGGCTTGAAATCGGGACCTTTGCGGGCTAATAATGTTTCTTTAAGGACCGGACTGTCCAAAGGAGTTTCTTAATAATAGGAACGTAAGCTATAACATAGGCAAACGGATAATGTTATCATAAAATTGTAAAAAAATATAAAAAACAAGACAGCTATGATTTTTGTTATCATAGGCAAGTTAGATTTGTATTTAGCTTCGAAATAACAAAATAAACCATCCTAATTGGCGTGAGGTATTATGAAAAGTTTCCATTTTTTCAATATAAACTCAGAAATAACCAGTTCGAATAGTCTTTTTATCTCCAAGTGCTGGCAAATCATTTTCACACTTGTTGGCTTAATAGAATGAACAGCACATACACATCTGAACAAGTGAACATTCGAATCTGACTGACGAAGATGAACACAGAATCTCTCACACTACTGGTTTTTGGCAATTAGAACAATTTTCAAACAGCCAAACTGAAATGGAATGGGGGAGAACATTTTCAGGAGTTGAGGGAGAAGTCTTCTTCGAATAAAAAATGCTCTAGCAATACATAAATGGACAGAAACAAATTGGTCTCGAAATTATTAGATTTAATTCCAGTTTAAGCTCGAACTATGATATATTTTGAAAACATAGTAGTATTAGTAGTGTTATCTTCAAGATAATATTTTAGCGTGAAAGCCTTGCAACACAAGGCATATTCTGTTATAATTAATAACAAATAGGGACCAAATTAATTTAAAATTGTTTTGTACTTAAATCTTTCAAAACAGAAAATTCGTACCACCAAAAGCTTTCAAAAGTGTGCATCACCAATTGCTAAAGTACCAAAATATATGTGTGAAATTTATTTACTCAAAGGGTGCCAAAAAGATGGTTTCAAAAGTGGGTTGGCATGGCGAAGCTTGGCGAAGCTGCTAACGAATAATGCATAGTTTTCCGTGCTGCTTGAAAAGCACAAATAGTAAAGAAAAGCACAGAGCGGCGGACAAAATAATCAAAAAAATGAAATAAAATTATGAATGTATTCAGCTGTTTTTGCATTGTCTTTTCATTTTCTGTTAGCCTTCCTTCTTTCCTCTGCTAACTCGATTCATGCAACAGCAGCAACAATAAGCAAGAATGTTGCACGAGTGTATATATTTATTAAATATTTCACTAGAAGAGCCTTTCTCATTCTCCCTATGTGTATGTGTGTGTCTGAAAATAGTTTGCAATAAAATTACGCCCTAAAGTCAAACTTTTGGGCCAAACAGGCCCAACCAACCCCTTGTGCCCATTGAGAAACGAAAACGAGAAGTAAAAATTATAATGAATGCTATGAGTTTTGGTTGTTTTTGCTTTTGCACAAAAAAAAAATAAGCTTGTTAAGAATAATAAATTTGCAGATAATTATTTAGATTTAAATTTAAAATATAAGATGCAATATAACTTTAGTTATTTCCAATTGCTTTAAACGATACTTTGAATTTTTCGAAAATTCGGACAGTTTTTTAAATAATTAAACAACATTTTCTTACGTGGTGGTAGTAGTGCTGATGACGCACTTGATGCGCCGTAGGCTTCGCAGCCACGCCCATTGCAAAGGGGGGCCTGTATCTACCCCCTTAATTTATCCTCCCACCGCCTCTGCCATCCTGGCCCCTGCTGCACTTCCAAACAATAGCGCACGGGCATAAAACTATCTGACATCGTCAAAAAGTTCATGCAAAAATGTGGAAATGTGAAAAGTTGTTGAAAAGCCTGGGCCTTAGGATGTGTGTGTGTGCGTGGGTGCATCCTCTGGTGCGTGTGTGTGGGGTAGATTTATTGCATGACATTTCAATTGTTAGACAAACAGCTGGACGAAGAACTAGAAGCCGGCGGAGGGGCAACAGCACTTGAAGCCAAGGCCAAATGCGGAAAACGGAGGAAAATATGTAAAAAAAGCCCGGAGACGAAACGAAACCCGAATAAGGCCAAGCATTCTGACAAACAGTGTTGCCAAAGCAATGTGACACAAAAAGGGTTGTCGATGGCGACGCGAGGAATGATTTGACAGATAGCGTGACAAACAAATTCACTGTTTGGAAACCAAATCGACTCCTTTTCATAAACTCTTTTAAAATATTTTAAATTTAAGGGTGATAAAATCACTTTTTCAAACATTGTCGTAGTTGCATTCTAACAGATTTTTTGAAATAAAATAATAAAATATATTTAGTTTTACTTAAAAGTCTAACAAATGTTTAACGGTCACCCAGTAAAATACATTATTTGCGAGCATTTAATGGAAACCTTGATGCTTCACAAATTATCCAGACCCTCTCAAAACTGATCCCCAAAGCACTATAGGCTGCATGACCACTTCTTGTGGCAACAGTTTATAGGGAAACATGAGTTATTTTTTGAGCAAGCATACTCTTTGAGTAATATAATTCTTAGATATAATTTGTTCATATATTCCAAAAATCCTTACAAATAAAGTTAGTCCTCTTAAATAATTATGTGACAATTACAAAAACAAATCTTTGTCATTTCTTAAAGATTTCATCGTAATTTAAATTTAATTTGAAGTTCTACCTTGAGTACTTAAAACAAAGTGCACAAAAGGTTATTTGAAGATTACATTATTATGAAAAAAAATTGAATTCCCAACAACCCAACACAATGTAAGTATAAAGACCACTCTGGGCATTACAAATGTTGTTTTAAAATCTTTGTAAATAGCTCTTGTAAACACTTTAAATGTTTTCGTATTTTTAATACCGATTTTCTAACAGTACTAACAGTGTGATGTTATCCCAACATTGACGTCGTCAGATCTTAATTTCAACAACTTTTGATAAATGGGTTTTGGCCACAAAATTTGGTGATCCCGCCTATAGTGCAAAGGCTTCAGATAACGGCATATGAGAAGTGGTAACAGAAGGCCAAAAGGAGGTGGACAACGTGGTGGAGGTGACAAATGTCAGCAGCAATTAACAGAACCACCGAGGCAAGGCAAAAATAGTCAAAAGACGCCACAAAGAAAAACTGACAAACAAGGCTAAGTGGCTGGGCTGGGGTGGAAGGGGGGTGGTCCTTCAAGGGGACCAAGTCTGTGGTGGAAGTGCATCACATTCAGTAACATTTGATGAATTTCCTTTGGCCTTGTCGAGAGCGGCCGAATAGAAACGGCAGCCATTGTTTATGCCAGGAGTGCTCAAAACTGTCTTGTGGCCACGCGTTTACAAACACAATTGGAAGAAAATCGCACGCACGCGTGGAACGACTCATGGAAGAGATCAAAGCAATTTACATTTGGATCAGATAAGATGGTAAAAGCTCAATGTAATTATTGTTCCTGGGCTCGCTATTTTCGCATACTTTGGGTAATTTCAAAACATATTTGATCGTGTGCCTATAACTTTAGCGTCCCTGGTGTTTTTTGACATATTATCTTCTGCTCTTGGCAATATCATTCTTTTAATATTTCAGAATTTCGAACAAATCTGGCGCCTTTATCATGTAGCTGCAATAGTACCGGTCGGCTTATTTCGTTTTTGGTAAACATATACGGTAGTAAATTTCAATGGAACATTATAATAAAACTTATGAAATTATTTTAAGTTTTCAAAAATCGGAAAGCTCTGTACATACAATGCTCCCACGGGAACGACTTTCAAGGGTATAGATACTTCGGCTTGTCGAAGCTAGCTTACTTTCTTGTCTTTCTATGGAAGCTATGAAATATATGTAGTTTTCCGATCCCGCTCGTTCTGACCTATATACTACCTGCAATAAAAATTAGACTTTAGGGAAGGTTTCATCCCGAAAGCTTTACAACTGAGAGACTAGTTTGCGTCTAATGATAATAATGCTGATCAAAAATATTGTACTTTATGGGGTCGGAAACGTCACCTTAACTGCGTTGCAAACTTCTGTCTGAAATCATAATATTCTCTGCAAGGATATAAAAATGTCATCGCCTGTTACATTTTCTAGCTAGGAAATACTTCCCCCAGCCCTCTGCTCGAATTTTGCGTGAGTTAACAAGTTGAATTTGCATTTAAAAATGTAAAAACACATGTTATCTGAACGATTAGAAATTGTAAGACTACACACATTTACTTGAGTGGGAGGGTGGTGGGAAAGTCTCAGGAAAATCTGAAGCCAAAGATAGGAGGAAAAATGTGATTTTACTTGTAATTGAATTGAGGGATTTGTCAGATCGATTTAAATTAAAATAAATATTCTAGGAAGGGGAAAGCAAGAGTAAATTGATTTAAAGGTCTCTCAGAAACTACCTCAGCTACCAAATACCCACTCGGCGGCGGGATACATTCGTTTAACGCCAATAGCACTCAATATTACACTAAGAAAAAATGCGTCCGGAACGCTCAAAATTCAAGCACAAACGGGGTCAAAAAGTGCATAAGCCTGTTTGTTGACAATTCATGAACTCTCGC